AAATCAAAAACAATAAAGTGTTAGTCGTACATGGAACAGAACAGCAACAAATAACTAATCACCACGTCGTCCTAGGCCCAGTCTAAACGACTTACTAAAAAAAGTAATGTAGTAATAATGTGATGATAAGCTTGCATGACTTGTATCTCGGCTGCACGTTATCTTGTGCTAGCATAGACTCTATGGAGAAGTACCCATGCCCCCTCGTTTGCCAGCAAGGAACGATCTTTATATAATTCATAAAAGCAAACCGGAAGTTCGGGTGGCGGGTATACTGGCAAACCCCGCCCAACACGGTTTGCTGGGGAGGGTCCTGAGCTCCAAGTATAAACAGGAAAGTAGGTTGAGCAACGTAGTAAGAATCAGCAAGCCGTATGAATAGTAATAAGTTGACAGTCAGGCTGGGCCCATAACTACATGGTCTAGTCAAGTTAGTAGAAGAACAAATCTAGCAAAGCAGAGAAAAAAAAGTAGAACATGTTGAACACATGCCCTGATTGAATCGGAAATGCGCACGGATGGCAAGAGAGCATAAAGCGATTGGAAGCGAACTCCACTAAACGCACAACCACCAGAGCTGACGTAATGAGACAGACATAAATTAACCAGCCATAAATGAAGGTTCCAAAACCACGCAAGAAAACCTGAAAAAGAAAAGAACACTTTTAGGAATAGATGCGAGAAAGGAAAAGTAATGAAAAAAAAGTAATCAAAAGTAAAGACTTGCGAAATCCAACTGGTAAGCTGTTCTTATTGAACAAAAAACCTAAATTAGACTTAAAACGAAAAAAAAGTATCAACAGAGGTACGGCCCACAATGCAAAATATTAGGGATATCAATCTTAAGTAAACTTCTTTTAAAAGCCCAGCTATTTTTGGCAGTTAATAATTTGGGAGGTAGTCGATTGAGCCAGCGTGCACAGCGATAGAACAATGAGTTGAAAAGACTGGAATAGAAGCTCTTTTGTAACTTAGGATAATGTAAATTAAAGCCGCCACGCCTACAACTAGCAGGTCTAAAGATCCAAAACCTGCTAGCTCTCAAATCAACCTCTTTTCGCAATATACGAAAACAAAAAACTAAGTCAGCCACTAACCTTCTATTCATCAGCGATTTCAAACCAAGCATTCTAAGGCGTTCCACATAAGATGGAATGTCTTCTCTGGATATACTTCGCATCTTGCGATAGAGGACCATTTTCGTGAACACTCGCTGAACCCTTTCACGTTTTAGGGTCTCCTTTCTACATGAGGGGTTCCATACTTGAGAGCAATACTCCAAATGAGGGAGCACACAGGCTTTATACAGTCTGATGAGAGTGTTTTCATCACATGTATGAATGTTGCGAAAAATAGCAAACAGCGAAGAGTACGCTCTTTGCACGACATAATCAATGTGTTCAGTAAATTTCAACTGGGAATCAATCAAAACACCTAGGTCCCTGACCGATGAACACATTGTCAAAACAGAATCATTCACTTCATAATCGAAAGGTCTTATTCTCCCAAAATGCAGAAAGGAGCACTTGCTAGGATTCAGAGAAAGACCATTACTCGTCGCCCAAAAGCCCAACTTTTTAACGGATGACTGTAGTGCAGCATGCATAGCGTGATGATCCTCTTCATTATAAGAAACATACAGCTTAATATCATCCGCGTAAATCTGTACGCTCACTCCACCCAAAGTCAAAAGAGAAGGTAGCTCCATAGTAAAGATAAGAAAAAGAAGAGGAGAAAGTACCCCACCCTGGGGTACACCACTAGTACACTGATATCTCTTGGAGTAAGACTGTCCAACCTTGACTGTGATAAATCTGTTTTCAAGATAAGATCGGAACCACTGTAGTAAATTTCCCTCTATTCCATAGCCTTGTAATTTAGATAGTAATACATGGTGGGGAATCTTATCAAAAGCTTTCGATAGATCCACATAGACAACATCAACAGATAACCCAGCATTAAGAGCTTTTCTCCAATCAAAAACACTTGCAACAAGATTAGTTGTAGTTGACCTTCCAGGTAAAAAACCATGAAGCTCAGGAGGAACTGGGTGGAAATTTTTTAGCCAACGAAACAACTTCTTTCTGATGATTCGTTCCATGACTTTGATTGGAGTGGGCGTAAGACTTATGGGACGAAAAACACATACTGTAGAGGCAGATGCAGTTTTTGGGATTGCAACAACGATAGCTTCCTTCCACAAACTAGGTACTTCACAAAAATCAATGGAGAGATTGAATAGCTCAGAGAGAGGCTCTGAAAGTAAGTCGGCACACTTCCTATAGATAATAGGGGGAATCCCATCATAAGGCTCAGTGCAGGATGAGCTGAGAGACCTCAAAATGACTCGAACATCATCAGGCCGAAAATGTATCGTATTACAAGTTTGCTGAAGGGCGGAACGATTAACAACAGAGGCACAATGGAGATCTTCGGATACAGAGAAAACGCTAGCAAAATATCTGCCTAAAGCTTCTGCTTTCTCACCGTCGTTCACAAAGCTGTTCCCACTTTCGTTACTAAGAATGGGAAGATTAGTGCTGTTCTGGAGCTTACGCCGTAAATAACCAAAGAATTTTTTAGAACTTTTACTTGATAATCTACGCTCAAAATTTGATAGGAACTTTTTTAAATGAAAGGCTAGATCAGAACACACTTTCTTAAAGAACGGGTTTGATAGCGGGTCATTCATTTTATTGAACAAATTGTGTTTTTGTTCTATAAGAGCACGTATATGTTTTGGATAGTGAATGTTATGAAATTCAAAAGTTTTTAAGCACCCGTATCTACTTAAACCTTCATAAACTTGTGAACAAAAAGCTTGATAATATTCATTTAGCCCTGAGCAGTTCTCATAAACAGCGACCCAGTTGACATTTGCGAAGTAATTATTAAGACCTGCATAGTCAAACTTGGGAAAATCAGGAATGGATACAACACTTTAGCACAACAGCTTTCTTCTACTTCAAATCGTACGACATTGTGGTCGGCAGAAGCAATAGGTGGATAGATTGCAACATTTTTGATATTCTGAGTATTTGAGAAAATCAGATCTAAAATTGCATCGCTATGAGTTGGTTTGCAAACATATTGTTCAAAACCACTGTGTTTGAAAAATTCAAATAGAGGCTTGGAACTTTGATCAAGCACGATAAGATTCTTCCAATCGACATGAAAATTGAAATCTCCCAATACTACTATAGCTTGGGATCGAATCGATATGAGATTGATCAATAGCTCAGTAAACTGTTCATCATCATGTTGAGTACTATTTGGAGGACGATAAATGCTAATGAACTTAAGTAGACTGTAGCTAGAGGGGCAGCAGAGTTCAACGGAAAGCAAATCAATATTAGCTACCGTAAAATGGTCAATTTTTTGAAAAGAAATATCATTCTTAACGAGGCAGCATACACCTCCCCCAATTCTTTTACACCTATCTGTACGATGCACAGAGTAGGGTAAATCATTCACAACTTCGGAATCACGTATTTTAGGGGTAAGCCATGTCTCAGTTATGAACACCAGATCTCGTTTATATCGACAAAGGAAAGAGTGAAGGTGGTCTATCTTATTAACAATACTGCGAGAGTTGAATAAAAAACAATTCAATTTTCTCAGAACACCATGCGGATTCAGTGGTTTCCCGAAGGCCTGTGGGGGAGTTCAGCAACACGCTTGAGTTGCCCTCTATAGACAACCCATTCGCGTATTGCTTTGCCCCTGTTGCGCTCTCTGGCCTGCTGACGCAGGTCATATTCCATCCTTCGTTCTTCCTCTGTCATACTACGACGTATGAAAATATTAGGTGAGGAAGAACGGAGGATGTGAGCGCTGGCCAACACAGACCAACAATAAAACTTAGAGGGGAGAACCACTTTAACTAAACGCGGATGAGTCCCCCCACTCTTCCCAATCCTATATAGCTCACTCACGCTACAGTCAACATTAAGAACATTAAAAATATCATCAACCTTTTTTTGAGATCAGCAGCTAGTTCAGTTCCATAGTTCCTTCTGATTAGAGACATTTGCCTCGTTACCGAAAAGAAGGGGCTTGAGACTCTTTGGCAAGCTTGTAGTAAACGACTTTTTTATTTAGTATAGGAAACGCTAAGTTTTTTCCTATCTCTAATTAGCTGAGAGAGTTTTTACAAATGAGGCGTTCCATAAAATGTTATGATTTTTGATGAAAAATAACAATATAATTGACTTTGCTGTTTTCTATTGTACGGAAAACATATGGCTAGAGCGAGACGCTTGATTCAACACAAACTTGGCTTAGTCAAAAAGGTAGTCGGAAAAAAAGTATAATTTCTTTATGGCAAACTTTTAAGATACATCAAACTAAGTGGTTTTCTTCTTCGTTTCAACATAATAATATTTTTTCTAGACAACTGCTAAGGTGCTCGTATTTACAAAGCAACATTTTTTTCTTTATCAGCTCAATGCCAAGCAATTCATTGAGATTGGCGGAAGCCTTTTATCAAAGTGGGTTCTACAATTTCGACAAATTTGCGCGGCATATGTAGATGGGTGTTGGAAGTTCGTATGCACTATTTGAATTTGCGAATATTTATTCATCATTTTTGCGGTAGTTCATCAAACTGCAAAAAAAGCTGAGTAGTGACCGTCCTATACACCTATAATTAACAGCAATCTAGCCAACGTTTCAAAAATTCGGGATAAATAAATAGTAAATATGTAACTCATGCAAAAAACCTTCATATATTCTTCAGTGCTGCTGTGCCGAAGAATATATGAAGGTTTAGTTTAAAAGTGGAACTTTTAAACTAAACCTTCATATATTCTGTATATTTAGTATACTATTTTAACGCTTTTATACGTCCGAGTCTTTCGAAGATTTTCTCCAGATCTTAGGCTATATCTTTTGCTTCTCTCAGATATCCAATTTATTCTTAGTAGCTCAAACACCTGCACGAAGCTTTCGTTTGCTTGGGATCGTAAATCAGAGCTGCGGAACATCCGATCTCATTCCAGAAAAGATCATGCTTCCGCTAGTCAAATTGCTGATGCTGATGCTCCTATTGCAAGTTACGGTGGAGGGAAAACAAATTATTGGGAGATGCAAAGAATTTTATCCGCCGAGTCTTCGAGATACTGTGCGTACCTGCATTACGAACTGCAAAAAACTTCATGTAAGTCTTGGTCTTGTATTCCATCGCAATAGATCGGTTTGTTTCAGTACAAGGAAGGCTATTGCGACATAAACGACCTCTGTACATGTGACCGTTGATCGCACAACAAGCAAGGACGAGTTTTGAAACAGTTATCCCTTGTTGAAAACGTCTACATAAACACTTCAGCATTCACATCTGAGTTTACTGATTAACATCTGTAATTTATTTTGAAAGAAAGTTCTACTTTACTAGAGGCTTTGTAAGGGTCTTGTTTATGGACTATGTAACCTTCAACATCAAGATCAAGTCTAGGTTCCTAAGATCTTAAGTGGAAACCGTTGAAATCTCTGGTTGAGACACAGCCACGGCTTAAGTGTCTTACTGAGGAGGCTGATCATGTATTTTGGGTAGAGGACAAGAAGTCACCAATAGGCTCTACCCCGACTAGTACCACGAGCTGTGGTGGACAGAAGTGCGCAATTGTTGCAGATTTCCGCGCGGAACCTCGAACATGCTTACAAATGATTTTTTGAATTTCTTGAAGACGTTTCTTTTTTAGAATGTCGACAATTGTAAAGGTGGGGCACACTGATACGTTAACGGCTGAGATAAACGTCTGTAAATGTATGCCATCTTTATATTCATTAGAATATAGATGCTTTGTTCGATTATCACTGTCCGGCCTCTAACTGTTCAACTGATAAAAATACCAGTTCGTTGAAGGAAATGGTCATGAAACGTACACCCACCCATAAACTGCAATGGACCGTGGATGTGAATGTACCGATGGGCAGAGCTTTGCAACTCGTCAATATTCCTTGAACGTGAGGTCTTTCGAAAACATTTGAGATTTTCAAGAATTAAAATAAAAAATGGAACAGAAATTATCGTCAACCAATAGAATAGCACACTTGTTTTTTACTTGATTTCTAAATAGTTATACTCCATTCGTTGATCGCACGGACAGGACATCACTACGGAGCACGTGCCGCGAGGTAAAACTTGCTCTAGTACAAATTCGCCATGGTACAAATTGTGCTCTCGCAACATTCATCTTAGCCGCGCCGCGCGTGGTCCGCAGCGTTTGAGCACCCCATGCGGTCAACGAATCAACGATAACACTTCTCGATTATTGTCCAGTAGAATTGTAAAAAATGACTAAAAGTGATCGGAAATCAAATTCAAAACAGTAACCAGATATTGGATTAGGTGACAAATAGTAATCGACGGCTGCTTTAAATGCAAATAGCTGCAAAGAACTGTTTTCATACATCATGCAAAATTTGCTGGAAGGCAGTTTGCAGGTAAATCTAGCGAAAGGATTGCGTTTATGGCTCAATCAAGACCCACGGCAGAAAAAACCATCTCGGAAACGATTACCAGTACAGTATTTGACAATTGCATCATTTGCATGCTTTCAGCAGGGATCAAGTTCTCTGCTGAAAGGTTCTGTACGAATCTGGAGAAGCGTTTGGCTTTGTGCTGGTTTAAACCTTTCAAAACTTTTATTTCCCAGCAATCTCAGTTTTTCCCTCTCAAAGGTTGCATGAGTTGAGTATTGGATACGTGAGCATGAGTATTAGATACCCTTGACCAAATTATTAGAACATTAAAATTCAACATGAGATGCTTGGCGAAGTGAAAATGATGTAAATCGGAACGATCGCAAAAAGAAAAGAAAAACCGGTTTTGTTCATTTTTGAGATTACCTTAGGGCAGCCAATGAGCCTCTGCGCCGTGCGGGATGCTTCTAACTTTCTGCGAGCGCTCAAGCTAAATTTACAAGGTACAATTATAGATCAAAAGACTAACCGACTGCGTATCACATACCTACCGTTACCTAAGCAAACATCTGTGTATATATCAGGATTCGGATTCGAGCTAAACTTAGTGGTAGATTCAAAACTTTGGCAAACTTTGGTAGAGTTCGTAGTCATTTTTCAAAAGCTATGACGGTATCGTAGGAGTTTCCATTTTTTTTCATCAAAGTGTCTAAATGGTGAAGAAGACTGATCGAGATTTAGAATTTTTTGGATGAATCGCAAATATTCTTGATGAAGCCATTTGAAGGGAAGCAAAAAATGTTGCATGCAGACAGTCTTTATCAGCTTTTTGCAAAAACTTTTTTGAGCACCCTAAGCACCTTCTAAACAAACACTATATCAAACTTTGTCACTACTCTTTTTGAAAGATCATCTATGCGCAGCTGGATGTCCATCTTTCTCAAGAATCGTCAATGTCAATGCGAACGGGGCAAAATCAGGGTGCTGAAGCTTAACGAAAAGTTATACTGCAAATTTGTAGCCCGGAATCGTCATTTATCAATTCGAGAACCTCTCTCGAATTTATTGTCTTTACAATGTTCAATTTCAAAAACTATCGAAGTTATTCACCATCTTTTCATTAGAATATATGATGTGAAGCGCTGAAATTATTGGATATTTCACCACTGTCATACCAAATGGTGTCAGAGGCTTGTAACTGACGCGCTTGAAATGATGTGAAATGCATGATCATTCCTCCTGATTCATGACTGAAAAAAACTTTGCAGGATGTGTCTTCATACGCATTCGTTTTGACTCTTCGAACTTGAAAAACCAAGCCCATTCGCTTTGCAGCATATTCGCCTATTCATGCAATCGACAACTATACGATGTGGTAGTACAGTGCAGAGGTAATAGTGTAAAGGACGCAATATATTGCATCTATAATTGTACCTTGTAAATTTAGCTTGAACGCTCGCAGAAAGTTAGAAGCATCCCGCACGGCGCAGAGGTTCATTGGCTGCCCTAAGGTAATCTCAAAAATGAACAAAAACCGGTTTTTCTTTTCTTTTTGCGATCGTTCCGATTTACATCATTTTCACTTCGCCAAGCATCTCATGCTGAATTTTAATGTTCTAATAATTCGGTCAAGGGTATCTAATACTCATGCTCACGTATCCAATACTCAACTCATGCAACCTTTGAGAGGGAAAAACTGAGATTGCTGGGAAATAAAAGTTTTGAAAGGTTTAAACCAGCACAAAGCCAAACGCTTCTCCAGATTCGTACAGAACCTTTCAGCAGAGAACTTGATCCCTGCTGAAAGCATGCAAATGATGCAATTGTCAAATACTGTACTGGTAATCGTTTCCGAGATGGTTTTTTCTGCCGTGAGTCTTGATTGAGCCATAAACGCAATCCTTTCCCTAGATTTACCTGCAAACTGCCTTCCAGCAAATTTTGCATGATGTATGAAAACAGTTCTTTGCAGCTATTTGCATTTAAAGCAGCCGTCGATTACTATTTGTCACCTAATCCAATATCTGGTTATTGTTTTGAATTTGATTTCCGATCACTTTTAGTCATTTTTTACAATTCTACTGGACAATAATCGAGAAGTGTTATCGTTGATTCGTTGACCGCATGGGGTGCTCAAACGCTGCGGACCACGCGCGGCGCGGCTAAGATGAATGTTGCGAGAGCACAATTTGTACCATGGCGAATTTGTACTAGAGCAAGTTTTACCTCGCGGCACGTGCTCCGTAGTGATGTCCTGTCCGTGCGATCGACGAATGGACTATAACTATTTAAAAATCTAGTGGAAAACAAGTGTGCTATTCTATTGGTTGACGATAATTTCTGTTCCATTTTTTATTTTAATTCTTGAAAATCTCAAATGTTTTCGAAAGACCTCACGTTCAAGGAATATTGACGAGTTGCAAAGCTCTGCCCATCGGTACATTCACATCCACGGTCCATTGCAGTTTATGGGTGGGTGTACGTTTCATGACCATTTCCTTTAACGAACTGGTATTTTTATCAGTCGAACAGCTAGAGGCCGGACAGTGATAATCGAACAAAGCATCTATATTCTAATAAATATAAAGATGGCATACATTTACAGACGTTTATCTCAGCCGTTAACGTATCAGTGTGCCCCACCTTTACAATTGTCGACATTCTAAAAAAGAAACGTCTTCAAGAAATTCAAAAAATCATTTGTAAGCATGTTCGAGGTTCCGCGCGGAAATCTGCAACAATTGCGCACTTCTGTCCACCACAGCTCGTGGTACTAGTCGGGGTAGAGCCTATTGGTGACTTCTTGTCCTCTACCCAAAATACATGATCAGCCTCCTCAGTAAGACACTTAAGCCGCGGCTGTGTCTCAACCAGAGATTTCAAAGGTTTCCACTTAAGATTTTAGGAATCTAGATTTGATGATGTTGAAGGTTACATAGTCCATAAAATCCATAAACAAGACTCTTACAAAGCCTCTAGTAAAGTAGAACTTTCTTTCAAAATAAATTACAGATGTTAATCAGTAAACTCAGATGTGAATGCTGAAGTGTTTATGTAGACGTTTTCAACAAGGGATAACTGTTTCAAAACTCGTCCTTGCTTGTTGTGCGATCAACGGTCACATGTACAGAGGTCGTTTATGTCGCAATAGCCTTCCTTGTACTGAAACAAACCGATCTATTGCGATGGAATACAAGACCAAGACTTACATGAAGTTTTTTGCAGTCCGTAATGCAGGCACGCACAGTATCTCGAAGACTCGGCGGATAAAAATCTTTGCATCTCCCAATAATTTGTTTTCCCTCCACCGTGACTTGCAATAGGAGCATCAGCATCAGCAATTTGACTAGCGGAAGCATGATCTTTTCTGGAATGAGATCGGATGTTCCGCAGCTCTGATTTACGATCCCAAGCAAACGAAAGCTTCGTGCAGGTGTTTGAGCTACTAAGAATAAATTGGATATCTGAGAGAAGCAAAAGATATAGCCTAAGATCTGGAGAAAATCTTCGAAAGACTCGGACGTATAAAAGCGTTAAAATAGCATACTAAATATACAGAATATATGGAGGTTTAGTTCAAAAGTTCCAGTTTTAAACTAAACCTTCATATATTCTTCGGCACAGCAGCACTGAAGAATATATGAAGGTTTTTTGCATGAGTTACATATTTACTACTTATTTATCCCGAATTTTTGAAACGTTGGCTAGATTGCTGTTAATTATAGGTGTATAGGGCGGTCACTACTCAGCTTTTTTTGCAGTTTGTTGAACTACCGCAAAAATGATGAATAAATATTCGCAAATTCAAATAGTGCATACGAACTTCCAACACCCATCTACATATGCCGCGCAAATTTGTCGAAATTGTAGAACCCACTTTGATAAAAGGCTTCCGCCAATCTCAATGAATTGCTTGGCATTGAGCTGATAAAGAAAAAAATGTTGCTTTGTAAATACGAGCACCTTAGCAGTTGTCTAGAAAAAATATTATTATGTTGAAACGAAGAAGAAGACCACTTAGTTTGATGTATCTTAGAAGTTTGCCATAAAGAAATTATACTTTTTTTCCGACTACCTTTTTTGACTAAGCCAAGTTTGTGTTGAATCAAGTGTCTCGCTATAGCCATATGTTTTCCGTACAATAGAAAACAGCAAAGTCAATTATATTGTTATTTTTCATCAAAAATCATAACATTTTATGGAACGCCTCATTTGTAAAAACTCTCTCAGCTAATTAGAGGTAGGAAAAAACTTAGCGTTTCCTATACTAAATAAAAAAGTCGTTTACTACAAGCTTGCCAAAAAGTCTCAAGCCCCTTCTTTTCGGTAACGAGGCAAATGTCTCTAATCAGAAGGAACTATCCCCGTGCAAGTTACTAATCGGAAATCTTTTTATTTTCCTGGATTCACCCACGTTATCCTTTGGGGCATACTCTACTCAAGGAAATTCATCCAAGTTAGATATGGTATGATAACGTGAAAAAGTAGGAGCAGAATTGCTGAAATTGCTGGTGAACCCGCATACTAAACGCGCTCAACATACTTCGCCTTTAATGCTACTAACAATTCGTAGAATCTCCTTTATAACCGTAATCTTTGCCGGTGTTTAAATGACTGAAAACTATTTGAGCTTTCACCAGCTTTTCATAAATATAAAAAGTGCCAAGCACCGATTTTGAATGCTTTTTGCTTACTAAGACACCGAATGATGTCAATTGCTTGTTGCTGATCAAGGCCAGTGCTTCATGATTCTGTATAATTTTACGGACCTGACACTGAAAACTCGAAGAAAGGGCATTAATAAAGAGATTGCCATTGCACGACTTACTTTATGCAAAAGTGAATATCACTATCCTTTTACTGTATGTTCGGTAGCGCAGGCGACAGACATGACGGAGTGATGGAACAGTAAAATAAATGGCAGATTAATTTCTGAGAATGCCAACTTGTACACTTTCTTCCGTCAGTTCGTCGGTTGTTTCTTAAAAATTGGGAGAATGCGTCTATAATCAAAGAAAATATAAGGCCCTTCAAACTGTTTCACTCCATTAGGAAGAGCCGCTATCCTTAAGTTCGGTACGTACGCTTTTGAACATCTTTATGAGAGCATTGGCGAGGCAGGCGATAACCACTAATTCCCCATATTTCATCCTATTACACATGCAGAAAACTGAGTTTTGAATTCTAGCAATAGTGAAAGTCTCCTGTTACCACTTTCTTGTGAGTAAGTTTAGAAGTTCGCAACATTCAACTTACTTACCATATGGTTTTACTACCAAAAAACTGAAAATAGAGCCGACTGCCCTTTTCCTTACTTCGAGAGTCCCAATATGTTGCTCTCGTCACTTTAGCCGAAGTCAAGGGTCAACATATGCATCTTAGAGCCAATTTGTTCGTGTCTGATAGCGCAAAAACGGTTACTGTCCACATATTACCATGATTGCATTAGCGAAAGTTTTGCAAGAGCATGCACAGTGCTAATCTGTCTCCACGTCTGGACCATCTCTGGTCACCAAACCGGGATAAGGGGGGGGGGGGGACTTGGCGTAACAGGGATAAGGAAGCCTCGTGTAGAAGAAATTTTCGCGTTATGCTGAAAAGGACCCGGGAAACCGAGTATACCGGCTAGTACTTCAATACCGACATGTTAAGTCAATCGATTACCGAGAAAGTGGAAAATTGAAGTGTCGATATTTCAGTCAATTTCAAAACTGAAGAACTGCAGATCGAAAATTTGCTCATTTCAATAATTTGTAAAAGATTTACAGATAATGACGATCAATGACACAGCATGGCGGTTTTAGCTATCGCTATGTACATGACTGCTAAAGTCGCAGCCGAGTAAGCAAGGATGGCTCTAGTTTCTTTTTTCCGTAGCGCAGAAAGCTTGCGCTCAAGCTGACAATTTTTTGAAAGAATATGTCTAACAGATTAATTATTTCCATATTCTAAACGTGTAAGCAATTGCGATTGATTTTTTTAAAATTAAAAATGGCCCAAAATCCCCTGAATTCGCAATCAAAGTTTAATGTAAAGGGACGAGTGCGCTTTTGTCGTGCACTCTTTCGCAAGCAAGATTTAAAGGATTCCTTGTAGTTTTGGACAATGGTTTAGATTTCAAAACAGCCCTGATAGTATGCCAGACAGTCTTATGCATGGGAGAGCGCGGACATCGCTGCGTCTGGTGCAGTAGCCCCTCATTTCTAAACTGAATATTTTTTACTACAAAAATAAAAGAATACGCAGGGCTTACCTTATATTTTTTGCAAGCTGCATTGCAAACCTTTCTAATCTTTAGGATCCCAACTTCTATTACAGCACAAAGGTGTTGTTTGCAATGGTTGCTATTCCATCTATTCTACATCGAGTAGATTTGATGGGCATATACAGAGTGCGTCAAAATTACCGACGCTGTTTGCTTGGGTACCAGAAGGATACTAGAAGTGCTTGAGGATTCAGGTATGCAACTGTTTCTACCAACAATAGCTATCGGGGTGTCTGCCAAAATGAACGATAGCTGGAAAAGCATATTGTACTCCTGCGGGTCAATATACCGCGCATAAAGTTTTATTTTTTGAAGTATGCTCTTTACTGGATTGAAAATGGTGTCGAAATGGTAAAGATTAAGGCCCTCAAGCTCCCAGCGTTTTTTCGAATTCCTAAATGCCATCATAGCGCAGATATAGAATCTGAAAAATATTTGACCTAGGCAACGCATATGGCTGGCACAATCTATCGTTCATGTTGGCTGCCCCCTCGCTATCGTAATGCAATATTCAAATCAAAATTTGTCTGCTTTATATTTCGGCAAAAGCACAATTTCCCTCGTCAGCTTAAGTGTATTTTGTACGGAATCGTGAGTTTGAGAATTTATATAAGACATTTTTGAGAACCTTATCTCTTGTTTGTAAGTGCGTGGAAGTAGAGCAATCCTTCGCCTCTAATACTGCCAAGTACGAAGATTTGAAGATGTAGAAGAGGATTTTTCAATTATATACGTAGTTGAAAAGCAGCATACCGAAAATTGGTGTAGTTTCGGCCTTCCTGAGTGCGCCATCAGAAAATGTATTCTAAATTAGAGTTGAAACCGTTCTGACTAATCACTCATGATAGATACTCTTCTACATATCTCACAATTAGAGGCTTGTTTTATATTTGAAGGTTTTGCATGTCTGGGACGTCATAATCGATTTCGAACATGAGGTCGTTGCTCGTACGCAGGTATTTTTCGCAAACACGTGTATTATTTGTGGAGGAACATCTGCATATGCAATGAGGGCTATGGTATAATGCAAATTGCGCTTTACAATTTCATCTCAGAGAAGTCTAGAAAGGTTCTGAGTTCATTCAGAGTTTTGTGTTCACAGAGCAAATCTTGATGGTATAAAAATTCCGTTCCGATTCTTTTAGTTTCCGCGTTCCTAAATAGAGTTTTTTCTGAATTTTTTAAATGTTTTTTGTAAAGATTGCTTAATACCTCCTATGCACGATTTGACCATGTGTTTCTGAGCGTTTTCTTCGGGGGACTGTTTGTAAGTGGCGCTGTAATTTTGGCGCACCAAAATATTGGCGCCCTTACGGTGCGGTGATTGGGTGGTAAAAGTTGCTCTTGAACAGTTAAGGGACATTCAAAAAATCGTGACGATGCGCGTGACGATGCGCGCAACACGCACGCACCGCAACGCCGGCAACCTCATTTTCTGGTTCTCATCTTTACTCGAATGGTCTGCTTACGTATGGATATTATTTAGACACAGGAAGACTGAGTTAAGGTAGGCCTCTTCGTATGAGCGTTTTATGCTCCTGTGGGCACAAAGGCCAGTCAAATCCGAGGCCTCTTCGTATGAGCGTTTTATGCTCCTGTGGGCACAAAGGCCAGTCAAATCCGTTTGATTGAGCATTTTTGTCCAAGGGTTACAATTTATCAAAAGTTATTCGAGGAAAGAAGTCAAGAGAAGCAGATTTACTGCTTTCTATTGTTTGCTCAAAAAACATAACTACAGTACCATTACCGCCGCCGCTAAAAACAGCGGATTAAGCGCAATATTGTTTCGGAAAAGCCGTAACAACGTAACTTCCTAAAAAATCATTTTCAAGCAGAAGAAGACACATATTAAGAATTAGAGTCCTTCGCTCTATCTAATACCATTTTTTCGAAAACACAATTTTTTTCATTTTTCCGATGACGTCACGAAACGTCCACGGTCCTGGGGTTTTTGGCTTAGAAATCGCTGTATAGCTCGCTTCAATGAGATTTTCTGGTGCAAGTTATTGATAAAAAAATTTTTGGCTGGGCGAAAAGTTCAGATTTTGCGTAACTCGAAAAATCTGTATTCATGGGCAAATTATTCAATGCTGTTAGTAAAGCAACAAATCTTCTAAAAGGCCTACTTGGAATTACCCACTTGTGCTGTTTTCCCTGCAATATATAGGAGCCCAAATCAGGTTGCTCATGCTCTGAATTCGATGTGAGACTATCTTCAAAAGACCATGCCTCAAGGATGGGCGTGGTAACGTGCCAACATTTTTTGTACAGTGATAGCGTACAGTCGGTTTCATCCCG